TGCCCATTGTTTTTATAATCCTTAGCCATCCCCTGTCCCCCCCCAACAAAAACAAGGACACTGGTGTGAACAGGATTGGCACCAGTGAAAATCTGGCTTGGGAAGTTATGAACAGATTCATAATCTGTTACTGCCATTCCCTAACTCCATCCCCAGCAATGAAATGGAGGAAGATGGAAATTAGAGTGGCAGTAGAGATTATGCTTCTAAAGAGGTCCCAGAGTTTTGTGGGCCTTAAATTACTATTTCTATCTTGGAAGAGATGAGGGATAGAGTTAACTCTTGAACTGTAGAATAAAGCTAATACAGATCATAGTGTGTCCCAGAAGCCCTTAAATTCATAACTATATGGGATCTACTATATAAAGGCAAACAATTTAAAATGAGAAAGAAAGCTTAATTAATGGGTAAATATTTTTTTTATTTAATTTGTCTGTCCTACTGAAAACAATATGTCTAATGTGGCCATGTGGTGATTCTGTATGTACAGTATTCAATGCAATTCCAGGATTAGAATAGGGGACTTACATTTTTGTTTCTATCTAGTCACTTCTGAGAAGTCCTGAAGTTGTACAATTTCTGCAAAAACGACAACAACTGCTAAGTCAACAAGCATTGGAACAAAGACAACAGTTTTCAGGAACAACAATGTAACAGCAACAGTTTCATAGCAGAAGTAAACACTATTATAATGGGGTCTACTGAATTTCTGTAACTGTTGTAGTTGGCTTCATTTTCTGTACTGCCCTTTTGTTTTTTTCTTTGGTTTTATTTGAAATTGACGTTTTAAATTATTTTTATGAGCTTTTTGCAGCTTCTCCCTTCAATTACAAACTTCCATTGATTCATTTTGGAAGTTATATTGATGATTTTGGGAAAGGTGAACTGATAAAACAATAAGCTGCTTTTTATTTTATGCAAACTTGCATAAAGTTATTATTTTATGACATTCATTGAAGAAAACAATAGTTACTTTCTATGGAAGTTTTAAACAGTGAACTTTGAGCCACTCCAGTAACTTCTTGTTCAGGAAGCCACATCTGAGTTTATTTTACTAACGGGGACTGTAGCAAGATTTGGCTCACAGTCCCATTACTGTTGTTAGATTTGTCTCCCAGGCAATCTAATTGATAATTTTATATTACATTATAAATAATGTGTTCCAGGTTTGTATTAATGTTATGTACATTTTGTACACATGGTTGACTATTTAGTGTATTTCAGTATATTACTGCCAGGATTCATTAAGAGGCATTTATTTAAATTTATTTATATTATTGTTGCATTTTAATGACTTATTTGTACTAAGGAACACCCATAGTTTATATAAGACTATTTTAAAGCATCATTTTGTATATTTGTAATTTTTGAACTCTTTCTGAACATGCAGTTTTTTTAAAAAAACTTTTTGTAAAATGTCATTTAAGTTAATTTTTTTACATCAGACTTTTTAAGGATTTTGTAATTGTACAAATTAGGTTTACTCCAGTGTTAAGATCAATAAAATGAACCAATCCAAGGGCTCAGTCATTACATGGTTCTGTTGTAACTATAAATCTGAATCCAAGCCATCGTGTATAATTGGTATTGTCTTCTACGTTATCATATCCTCATTACTTAGTATTTCTCAGCAAAGACCTTAGTGGGTGACTTTGGGCCAGTCACTCTTTTTCTCTCAGCCCAACTCACCTCAGTGTTGCTGTTTTGGGGAAAATAGGAAATGAGTTTGGATACATTCTCTGCCTTATATAAATAATAAATGCAGGATGAAAAAAAATAAATTGTGTGAAGAAACACAGATTTAAAGTGTGGATTTTTTATTTCCCTTTAAATGTTTTAACCAACTATTGTTATTTTTTTTCAATACTGTTTGAAATAATAGTTACAATCCAGTTGCTGTTTATATTAAACATTGTTTCATTGTCCATTTCTGTAAACATTATATGATATGACCCATAATGGAGTATATTTTGGTGTAGCAAAGCCTATAGAGTGAGACAAGCTGCTCTTACACTACTAGCTTACCATCTTTATTAAGTGAGAATGCCTAGTCGCAATGCAGTTGAAATTACTTAAAAAACAAGACCAAGCCAGTACAGGTAGTCCTTGACATATGATCGTAATGGAGTGTGCCCATCACAGCCATTATAACGGTCATAAAATAGGTCAACCTACTCGACCAACATGATTTAACCTTTTCTCGGTGAACCCCTTGATTGTAAAGTGACCACTGCAGTCAATGAGCAAACCAATGGATCTCTATGAGTCAGTTCTGCTGAAAACCAGGAGTAAATGCTGGTTTTCAGCAAAACCATTGTAAGAGGCGATCATGTGACCATGGGATGCTGTAAATGGGCTGGTTGCCAAGTGCCTGACATGGAGTCCTGTGACCATGGGGGGCAGGCAGCTATTGGAACTTTGGAATCTAGTAAGCGGCACTCTGAGAGATGTCGTATCTTTGAAAAGTTGCTAAGTGACCAGTTGTAAATTGAGGACTACCTGCAAGCTACAAAAAAGGAGCTTCCAGGAAGCCAAAATACAAGAGGAAATAAAAGAGCTGGTTGGTCTCAGATTTTCATGAAATACTCCCATTAACTCAAAAACTGTACTTGAGATAGATGCAAAAAGGGACCAAGGTCACACCCTAAAGAGAGCTGCTGGGCAACTGTCAGCAGATGCAATAAGGATAGAGGAATATTAATGTTTCATTGCTCTTATCTTCATGAGGGTGTCCCAAATATTTACCCCATTTTCTTATCCCATTGGGGAGAGATGGTTCCTGAGATATCTTGAGGATGTAGGGCCATGTAGGGCTTTAAAGGTAATGGCCAACACCTCGAATCAGACCCAGAAGCAGACTGGTAACCAATGCAGCCCTAAAGGTATGTAGCTCTAGGCTCCCACCAGCTGCAGCTTTCAAATACTCTCCAAGGGTAGTCCCATGTAGAGCATGTTGCAGTAATCCAACCAAAATATGACTAAGGTATGAGATACCATGTGCATGGCCTCAGGATCCAGATAAGGGCGTAACTTTTCTTATGCTTCATCCCCTTGCTCTAGCGCAGCAATCCACAGCACATCCTAGGATTGCTGCGCTAGAAGAGACCACATATTGGCAATATAATCCAAGTCCTCCCTATCTAATGCCTGACTATCCATCTGGTCCACGTGAAAAATGCCAAGCTCCTTGTCGATTCCCATTAGGCCCATCAGTTGTTGTGCACACATCAATCGAATAAACTCTATCTTCCCACAAAGGAGCAGATGATGCCATCGGATTGGAAACAATCACAGAGTGACCTGTGGCTCCAAAGCTATGGATTGATGCTAATTTCCTCCTCTACCAGACCACATTGCAACAACCTCAAGGCAAAAACGTATCTAGATGTACAAAATCCTTGATGTGGTTTTGCATGACATGGATCCCTGAATGTGTGTTGGAAAAACCACCTATTATTCAGACCACTGCTCACTATAATCAGATGCCTGGTACTTAGAAATTTTGTGGGAAAAGTATGACATGTAATAATCAATCCATTCAAAGGTAACGATGATACAAATGTCACTATTAATTTCCCATATTCCTCTTTTCAAATTTCAATTTATGAATCTAGGTTGAAATCTTTGTTTTAAGAATTCAATGTCTTAAAAGAGAGTCTGTGGTCTTTCCTACTTTTACAAACACATTTTATTTGGACATACAAAGACAGTCCTAGCCATTCTTTCAATAGGCCAACCTATTGATAGAGTTAGCCAGGGGGGAAATCTATTTACCTTCCTTACCGGTTCAGAAGTGCACACACTGCGCACGCGTCGTGTGCATGCAGACAACATGCGCAAAATCTGCACATGCACAGAAGGTAAAAAACACACTACTTCCTGGTTAAAACCAGTAATGACACCTGGGTAGGTGGGCGGAGCTTTGCTCCACCGTCGCTACCGGATCGCTGAACCACTGGCCAAGATTGCTACCGGACTGGGCGATCCGGTCCGATCCGGGAGCATTTCACCCCTGGAGTTAGCTCATATGTATAGTTCTGTAGATAGTTATCACATATCCAGACTTAAATAAATCAGAGAAAAAGTGTAATATTACCCAGATATTTTTAGGTTGCAATCCTATAGCATTGCAATCATCATTCAGTCTCTGAAGGCCGCTTTCAAAAAATAGAAAGTAGAATTACAACCTGGTACCTTGCTTATAGCTCCAGCAGAAACCATACAGTTCCTTTAATGCTAAAGTTCTAGTGTTATTGGGTTAAGGTTTAGATCTGTAGGATTCATGTGCTTTTTAATGTTTTTGAATTGTTCCCTGGGTGGGCGATGGGGTGGGGTGGGGAATTTATGCAGCTCTGCTGCAACCAATCAGAAAGAAATCACACCAATAAATAAGGCAAGTGGAAGAAAATATCTTTCTTTTCATCTGGTTTTAAATAAAACTAATCCAATCTAAATCTTTAATAGTATTGCTCATCTACTATATTGGAGCACCCACTACTTATTTATAACTGCCTTTTTATAAAATTCAATTTCTTTTAACTGTAATATTGGATTGTTTTCCCATACACAATGCACCAAATAGCTCCTTCATGTTGAGAGCTTCTTTGATATCACCATCTGGATCATTCATGAGTAATAGGTTTACTTCCTCCATCAGCAGCTAATGGAAAATAAGCCTGAGAATAAACAGTTTATAAAGAAGCCTCAGAATCATTAAGATTCAATTTTTAATCAATAAAAACTGATGTCAATTTTTTTCCTATAATTTCTTAATAAGGAAATAGTTGGCCTGCATATAATAAATAACAGACCATTTGGTTTTCTATGAAGCAGTCTTGAATATCATACAGTTTCTCACTACTTCCAGATTGTTCCCCAGAAGGTTGTGAATGCGTTTTGAATAACAGTTTTTAAGAAATGTTTTCCCCCTAAACTTACTTGCTGATAAATGGTTTTTCTGCCAAATGACTTAAATTTTCCAGTAGACTGTTTCAAGGAATGGCATGTTTATGAACACATTTAATAGCTTTAGATTTAAAAATTGTAATAGTTGTACAAAAACTTTTAGACACAGAAAAATATCTAAAGGGATCATTTTTATGCAGGCAGTCTTAGCTGAATTCTGAAAAGTAATCACATGATTATTTTTTCAAATACAATTTAGCAGTCAATATTTTTCTGTACAGTATGTGTTGCATTTACCCATGTTTCAGGGCTGAGAGAGCTCTAGGTTTACAAATTCCTAGGACAGTTCTTTTACATAGGCTGTATTCTGATATTTTAGCTATCCTCCCCCCCCCCATTTTATTAGTTCATATTCTACTACTCCAGAAAAAACAAAGCGTGTTTATAGGCACAATAATCACATATTAATAAAGATTTAAACAACTACTGCCCCACATTGGTTGAAAATATCACACTGCAGTAGATGTCACTGAGATTTTTATTTGAAACACCACTGTTTGATATGTTTATAAATTGTTCACAAGTGTATAAACTAAGGAACTACTATGAATGCATATCCTAATATATATTACTCACTGATTAGTTTATGACTGTGTTCACAGAAAACACTGAGGTAAAGTTACCCATAGTTTACTCAACCAAATTTCTTATATGTACATAATTCATTAAGCTAAATTGGGCAAGTAGGCTAGGTTTGTATTATTCACTAGGCTAAATATGACTGGCTAGTTTGTGGTTCAGTATGTCATGCAAAGGCAGCTTATGACAAATATATTTCCCCCTTTTTCCTAAATCGGTTTTATCCCTTCCATACGAAAAAGGCAGCAACTGATCTATAATTAGATGATCGAAAAAAATTGCTTCTATCATCATCTGGCCTGTACACTCCCACCACTATTGTTTTAATCCCATTAATTTCTATTCCCACTGCTATAAATCCACCATGATCATCTGCTTAAGTAATTTAGGTTTGAATTGGGGTTTTATATATAAAACAATTCCATTAATCTTTTTTACACCAGCTGATATAATTTCTTCTCCTAATTGTTTATAAATACCGTGTTTCCCTGAAAATAAGACCCTGTCTTATATTTTTTTGAACCCTGAAATAAGTGCTTGGCTTTATTGCCATGCGCTCAAAAGCCCGATTGGGCTTATTATCAGGGGATGTCTTATTTTGGGGGAAACAGGGTATTTCTTGCCTTGTTTCTTAATATGTGTTTCTTGAAGACAGACTATGTCCAAATTAAGTTTCCTCAAATAGTGAAATAATTGTTTACGCTTAGATCAGTGGTGAAATTCAGCCGGTTCTATCCAGACTGTATGATCCGGTAGTGCCAGCTGCGGGAAGCTCCGTCCACTCCCCGGATGTCATCACGTCCCATTTTTGACCCTCTGCACATGTGCAGAAGGCTCTGCACATGCATGGAGGAGGCACACACGCTCACATTTGCAAACCGTTAGTGAAGGTAAGTGAATACCATCCCTGGCTTAGATGCAGCATTTGCTCCATTGATATTCCACGTGATAGACTTAATCTCCATCTTTAAGCACCATAGTAGATTCCTGTACAACTACCTTGGCCGCATCTTCTTCTTTCTTTCTTCGTATCTCTGCCATGACTTTTTCTTCAATGCCAACTTTAAGGTCTTGCTCAACCACTTTTTTGGGTCTTGCTCGACCACTAACTTCTTTTCCATGCCTACTTTTCCACATGGATCTGGAATTAACTTATATCTGACCAATAAATCCTTAGCTTTCTCTATGGAATTAAGCCTAAATCTTTGCTCACAGTAGGTAAGCATCACCCTTTCCAATCTATCCCAACGGAATAACATTTTTCTCTGCTTCAGGATATCAGTATTTTTCTCAAAATCCTGACTGGAATTTCCTTCAAAACAATAGTATCTATATTTTTCATTTTCAACCTGTACTTTAAATGGCAATCCAGAACCTGATCCCTTATTATTTTTCTTGCAAACTAGAACATCCCTTGGTAGCTTTCTCGTAATTTTATTATTGTCTTAATTTAGATTTTTCTTCCAGCTGCATCTAAATCTGGATATATAAATAAATTATATATCTAATAAAACTGATTATAGTTCAGAGATCACAAATTATATTTACCTGCCAGATTATTATAGGATCCCGGTTTGGCAGTGCTATGAAGCTATCCTTTGATGCAATTATATTTAATACATTTTAACAATGCAATTGAATAATAAAATATCTGATAGTAGTCTTTTATCAATTTTCAAAAGCTTATCTCCTGTCAAATTTTTAATTCTTCAAAAGACATTCTGCAGAAATCCATACATACAGGAAACCTAAATCCCACTCTTATTCTTTCAGGTGTTTTGATTGTACAATCTGATGTCATGAACCTATTTTTCTCTAAATCACTTGCTTCTATGTTAACAATGGAAGGGAGGTATTTATCTGTCACAAGATCAGATTTGGACAGGGGTAGCCCAAAGCAAGAATAATTGTAAAAAAATAATTTAGTAATAGTACATTCAAGGGCAAGAAACATAACCAAACTAATGTTGTGATAAGCAAATTGGACAGATGTTGTACTTATTTTTCTCTTCTGGCAAATGTATTTTCAGGTTTGTTATTAAACTTGATCTTATTAAACTTGATCCCTTTTGCTACTACTTTTGGGCTATTCCAGTGTATTTTTTTTATCATTCAATATTATGTACAAAGTGACTGATCAAATAATTAATATATAAACTAAAGCACAGACTAGCACATATTAACAATATATTAATTACCTTATACTCAAGTTCATTGTTGATAATAATTGCTCTCATTTATTATGCTTATCGATAATTAAGACATTTGGGAGGAAGAGAAGTAGTATTTTTACTGAAATGCTATACAGTATTTATTCTGTAAATGAAGAATTTGAGGCGTCTGAGTGAAGCTTGGCAACATATGAATCTGAAGAGAGAAGCCCGTTTTGTATTAAGCAAATTGCAATTACCACTGGTCAACTGTACATTTTTACTATCAAGGCCCATAACATATGGGCAAGTATTAATGTCTTGGGGTTAATATATTGCATACTTCTTCCTTTCCATTGCAGTTGTAACATGTATGAAGGACTACAGTGCCCTGCTAGCTGGGTAAAATCATTCTGGGTATTACAAAGAATAGAATTAAAAAATATTAACCATAGCAGCTTTATATTGCCTCTTCCCTCCCTCCCTCATCATCACCAAATAACATATTTTTGTAATTCTTGGAATAGCCGCCCCTGAGTCTCCGGAGAAAGGCAGCACATAAATTGAACTAATAAATAAATTGGATAATGTTTTTTACATCACAGAGCCAGAGCCTCATTCAGTCTCAGCTTTCTTTTCAAACCAATGATAGAGATGGTTGCATTTGCAGGCTTATAATTGTTACTCAATTGTGCAAAATGTAACCTTTGTAATTACAAACAATATAGTTTTATGTTGAAATCCACGTCAGGAACAAAATGAAGAACCATAATCACAATATTCTAAGTTTCCAGAAGCACCTGCTTGATGTTATCAATAAACTGCCACTCTCAACAGAGCTACCACTTGCTCCATTTGAAATCAGCATTATTATTTTCAGAATTTAACTTTGATATATAATATTATTTTTTTACAAAGTGCAAGCAATACTGGTCTCATTCCATACGAAAAAATAGGCAGCTAGGCATATTTCTATGGCTTCATTAATAGACAGAATACATTGACAAAGTACTGCACTTTTTGCAATCTTATTAACTAATAAAACATGTAATACAGCATGAAAAACAGTAATAGTGTGTTATATATATCTACAATCATATTTACAGCTATATACAGAAATTGAAGGGAGAATTCTACAAGCCAAGGCCAGAAGCAGTATTTGTCCCCTAATGTGTGTGTGAAGAGGATTCTTACGAAACAGAGGATATTGGATTATGTGGGGAACCCATTTGTGTCAGCACCTTATCTAGCCACTGCAAAGGTCCATGAAGATGGATCTCAATCCAACATGGAGTACTTGTAACATCCTGGCGATGGTATTCTGCTCCCCAGCCCTACAAAAAAGACAAATAAATGGCAAACGATCAAAGAGATGGTGGTTTTATTCTTCATTTTACTCAAGACAAGACTGCTGTATCCACAGAAAAAATTCTGCTACATTTTAACCATTCATCATTTTCTATATAAAGAATGGCTGCGTATTAATGTGTTTGAACTTTTTTTTTACATCTTTTAGAGACTGTATTTGTGGGATTTGTGATTAAATAAATTGTTACTTAAAAGGATTTTACTCAAAGTTTCCTAAAAAAAACAAAAACAAAAAACCTTGTGCTTGGAAATCATGAGAAATAATGCAATTGTGGATAGCTAATTTCTAAAAAACCATGAGTTTTAATTCTATTCACACAGTATGTGAATAAATTAAATCCATATGAGAGAATATCACGTATCCTTGGCTATGTGGGAAAATGTACATGAATACTTGAGATGATTGTTATTGCTATTTTAAAAGCAGATTACTATCTTATTTTATATTGTCTAGATATTATTTATGATGGAATGTTTTAACTTTTATCTTCTATTTGTAAATGGGAAAATAAAAAAAATAAAAATATATGGACTTGGAACAAATCCCAGCATTAGTATTAGTTCAACAATTTATACTGCATCCTTCAGCAAATATGAGTTATGGATCGAACTTTAATAGGGGATTACATCTGTTAAAACTCTTGGTTCATTAAATGGTTTTCCATCTCCCTCTGGTGGAGGCTTGACAATCATTTCAGGTTGATGTCGCAATAGCTCTTTTTCTATACAAAGCCACCCAGTACTGCCATTTATGGCACTTTTTGAAGATGTAATATTATTACTGTAAGTAAAGTCTATATAATGTAATCTCTCAAAAAGTTTGAAACTTTGATTATGTGTTCAAAGTGAAACTTAAATCTAAAGAGAGTGAGTGACATTAATGATAGAGAGACCGATGTAAATTACCCTTGTGGCATTTTAATTAGATATGCCAACTTCTTCCTGAAATCAAGTTCAGTGTAAACTTATATTTCCAGGTTAAAACTGAGGGAACCATGCAAAACCAATACAAGTTTGGTTTTTTGTTAATAAAAAATATTATTATGACTAATTAACTGGCATCAAAATCAAATTAACAACTTGATTTGGAGCCATCTTAATTCCAAATAACTCTGTAATGTAATCTAATTTAAATTGTTTTATAGCCTTGCTTATTGTTCTGTTATGATTCTACACACTTTATAGTGTGGCCTATGTATGCTATTCAAATATTTAATACAGTCCTTAACTGCTCAAAAAGGATATACATTTCTATTCTAACATATCAGCATTAGGAATACAATAAATAATGAAAAGCCTGATGCACTGCTTGCTGTATGATTCTGACAATGAATAGAGCTATGAAGACTCATCCTTTGCTTTATGAAGGAAGAATAGGTGTGCATTAATATGTTTCTTAAAAAAGGTGTTGAGCAGTCATTTAGTTGAGCAGATATGAAAACAAAAAAACCCAGGAATAGGAAAGTTGGAGCCATTTAAAGCATAAGAATAGGTATAAAGATCCACCTTCACTGAAAGGGTAAACTTTTATTGACAAGATAGTGGAATGCAAAAGTCACCCTAAAGCAGAAAACTCATCTCTTCTCCTGTTTCCAGATACCTGTGTATGTCCAAGTAAGTGCACTATAGTATTATTAGATTTGGCCTCCAGGGAGTTAGGAAAACTACAAATCTGATATGAGAGAGTTAATATAAAAATGTGACTATCTTTTTCATAATAAATCTTCCAGGACTGGCATCTCTTTTACGCAATTCAAATGTTTACCAGATAAAAGGCGTAAAATAAACCCCAACAATTACTATAATCCAGCAGAAGCTTTTCCATTTGTCTTCAGTAGTAGCATCGCAGGAGAATAATAATAAAAAGCATGTTTTCCACAAATATGATGCATGTGCAAACTTGTAATAAAAAAACTACTTATGTATGGATTTTCTGAGTTACAAACACAAGGCTATTTTGTAGAAATTATAGTAACAGCAACTGATAATTTCCTTTGCTGTTATGCTTCAACATGACAATGTAAAAAAAGGGGGGAGGGCTTCCAGAAATATGCAAATATGAAGGACTGCATGCCTACATGTGCTGTTGAGTAAAACTAATTGTTTCTGTGGTTTCCCAAAAGTTTTCTACTCCTACGAAAATGACCTGAGAGTTTTAAAAAATCTGATGGTTCTTTAGAATTTTGGAAACATCTGAGCTTAATTTATTGTTAATGTGAAGAATATGACAGTTCTACATGTAATCAAATGTTCATTACTTTGCACTTTTCTTTACCTAAAATGATTGGGGAAATAAGATTCTTATTATGTCTCCCTTTTGGATTTAGATGAAATGTGAAGTCAGTCGAGGGCACATCCCTGGAGAGAAGATTGCAATATGAAGCAGAAAGCTTACCCACATTCTCCTGCCACCTAATATTAAAAAATGTGCCAGAATTCCCAAAGCCCACCTATTTCACTCAGTGTTGCTTCTCTTTTAAAGAACATTTTGAAAGCACTCTTCCCCAGTCCCTCTTCCCATCAAATGGAAAGAAAAGGGTACTGTGAAAAACACAGAAGCAGTCTTTGTCAGGAGTAGTTAAGAATTCAATTTGGGTGAGCTGACTGAGCTCAATTTTCTCCTTATAAAATCTGGACTCAAGAGTTGTAGATCTCTCAGATCAGCAGTGTATCAAAATCACCCTTCATCTGCCACCTTGCTGATTTTGAACCTTATCTTAGGAACACTACTGTCTCAAGAGGCTGAAATAGTGGCTTGTATTTGCTTTAGTCAAAGGAAAGAATTTTGTATTAACTCTACCTCTTCCACTACAGATATAAGGTTAGTTAGAAGAAATATAGCTCTTTCTCTATCAGAAAATTATGCTGCTGAAACTAAGAAGGCAAACACAAAGAAATTAGCATTAACATACCTATTATGTACAAATCCAGTTTTTGGAAGAAATGTAATCAAAGTTTAATTGCATATATTCTTAGGGAGGTCTCTTGCCTTCCCTTTTTGTTTACTAACAAAAAAGCAGCTTCAGGTTACAAAGTATAAAATATTTTATTCATAAGATGCAAATGTATGGTGTTTCCAGAATTTGCAGAGTTCAGACTAAGTAGGCAGAAATCAATTTGCCTCTGCTAAAGGATATCCTAATTGCATTTTGCAGGCCAATCCTAAAAAACAAAACAAAACAACCACCAACCTTCAGATACCACAAAAATGCACAACTTTGACTGGGTGATACATGTAACATTTTTGGTGAGTGCAAGGGTCAGAGCAAATATAAAATATGTAAAATGTAAAATATGTGTGATTGTCTCTGTTAAAAATACATTTTTGAAAGAATGAAGCACTTCTCTTTTTGAAATAAATACTGAGATTGAATAAATACACACAAAAAAATTGTCAGCTGAAATAACACCAAAGGATGGATTTGCTTTTCATTTATAACAACAACAAAATCATCAGGAGTATTTTAACCTTGATTATTTGGGGGGGGGGGGAAATCTGTGTTTAGCAGGCTTCACTTCCAAGAAAGAATATATAGCAGCCTTTATAAATTATTTTAGCACAGCTCCAGTTCTGATAATCCCATGATCCAAAGATTCTGAGGATCACATATATAGATTTTAGTTTTGGGGCTTTTCTAATTTTGCACACAATCTGGAAGAAATAATGAGTCATTCATGTAAAGCCATTTTAGATTTAATTCTGTTTTAAACGTATTTTAATTGTTTATATTGTATGTTTTTAACTTTGGCTGTTCACCGCCCCGAGTCCTTCGGGAGAGGGGGCGGTATAAAAATCTAATAAATAAATAAATAAATAAAATAAATAAAGCAAAAAGAAAATTGTCCTTATCTTTGTACCAAGAGAGTCTAATTTAGTAAAGTACCCCAATAATTTTGTAATATTTCATTGGGTCTGTTAGAAGACCCTGTATCAATGTTGGCTAATCCTTTTGGCAACGAGCGCCAAAAGGGGAACATGCGTGCGCGCATGTAGGGGACCATTGGAAACTGGAAAAGCAGCTCTGTGGTGCACACACACAGAAGCGCCGGAAACCGGAAGAACAGTTCCCCAGCATGGATGCGTGCACTGGGATGCTGAACTTCCGGTTTCCGCATGCATGCCAGTCACCTGGTCTTCCAGGTTCTGGCGCACATGCATGTGCGAAGACCAGCTGGCCAGTGTGCATGTGTGTACCGGAAACTGGAAGCTCAGCTTCCCAGCATGCGCATGCGCACCAGGGAGCTGCTCTTCTGGTTTCTGGCACTCCCGTGCATGCAAAGACCAGCTGGCTGGTGTGCATGTGTATGCCAGAAACTGGAAGCTCAGCTTCCCAGCACGAGCATGCATGCCAGGGAGCGGCTCTTCCGGTTTCCGGCACTCCCGTGCATGCAAAGACCAGCTGGCCAGTGCGCATGTGCGTGCCGGAACCCAGAAGAGCAACGGGCGACAGCTGGCGTGCCCGGAGAGATGGCTCTGCGTGCCACTTCCGGCATGCATGCCATAGGTTCGCCATCACGGCCCTATATACTCAAACCCTGGTTATGTAATCAAAGAAGCATGGTCATAAATGAGGGAGCTAGAAGGCAGCTTGGGAAAGGCAAAAATCAGATTTGCCTGATTCTGAATCAAAGGACCAGGTGATAATTGTTAATGAAACCCAAACACATGTCAGAACAGTAGCCCAATGCAAGTAGATTTCCAATTATCTTTTGCTTGAGTAAATTAGTGATCCTTTTTCATTCCCTCTTGTGAGAAATGAATCCTAATTGAAGAGACAACGCCTAATGATAAAACAGTGTCACAAATTACAAATAGTTATGATAATTTTTCACTTCTTCCTTGTGTATGATGAAGTATCATGAAAATACGAAGTTTAGCATCTCCCATCCATTAATTCATTCCAGACTTTGTGTCTTTTAAAATGTCCTTGCAACAAAGAGGTGTATTAAACCTTTTAAAATTCATAATCAAAATCAAAAAAAGTTCTTACTTTCACAAAGCTCATCCGGATGGTGCACATCTTGGTTAGCTCATACACCACCTCGAAGCCATGGTTAACTGACTGGGCAAGCAACTGAGCGAAGAGTTGGTTGTTGAAAATCTTCAAGCTGCATCCACTGGGGATTTTGCAGACAGTGGCTGGGTGGAAACCATGCTGATAGTTACAGTTGCGGCTCTGTACAAAAATGCTGCTGTCGCTCACACACTCTGCATATACCTCTCCTCCAACATAATACAGATGAACACCTTTAAGAGAAAAGAGGTAGCCAAATTTAATCTAATCTTCAACATAGATTAAAGCCAGACTTGTAACTCGTTTTTTTTTAAATCCATCTTTTCTTTTTTATGATATGCTAACAGTATGGCATTGTTATGTGATGGATAGAACTGTATATACTGCTGTACTGTATATACCAGGGGTCTGCAATCTGTATAACTGGTATATTGTATATACCAGGGGTCTGCAACCTTAAGCACTCAAAGAGCCATTTGGACCTGTTTCCCACAGAAAACACCGGAAGCCACAAAACCTGGATGGGCGTGGCCAACTCGACATCACTCACTCCCACCAGTTACATGACCCCCCCCCAGCCACGCCTACCCAGCCAGTCAGAGAACCGGTTGTTAAAAAACACCGGGAACCACAAAACCCTTTTGACATCTCTCCCTCCCTCCCTCCCCCCCCCTCTGTATCTCTCTGACTCTGCCCCGGCACTTCTCCATCACCCGCTGTTGCCCTTACCTTCTCAGGCCAGGCGAGGAGTGACTGGGAGGGGAGGGCGAGGAGGGGTGGCCAGCCAGTGGTGGGATCACCCAACAGGGAGCCACAGCAGAGGGCCCAAAGAGTCGCATGTGGCTCTGGAGCCGCAGGTTGCTGACACCTGGTATATACATAAACTGCAGGATGAGCTATCTTAAAATGGAATCCTAAAAAAGGTGTTTTAGCTGTGTGATGGCCTTTTTAGCAATTTCTTCTATGGATGGCAAAGCACTCATATTTGGTGTGTTTTTTTTCTTTTCTTTTCTTTTCTTTAATTTGATTTATATGCCGCCCTTCTCCGGAGACTCAGGGCGGCTTACAATGCGTTAAGCAATAGCCTTCCTACTTTTGTATATTTATACAAAGTCAGCTTATTGCCCTCACAAACTGGGTCCTCATTTAACCTACCTTAGAAAGGATGGAAGGCTGAGTCAACCTTGAGCCTGGTAAGATTCGAGCCTGCAGAAATTGCAGGCAGCTGTGTTAATTACAGGGTGCATTAAACCACTGTACTACCAAGGCTCCTTATTACATGAAACCCATTTCTAGCTATGAAACCTTATGCAAAAATGAGGCTTAATAAAAATTATGGTTAGTTAAAACTCTTGCTGACCAGACCACTTTCACTCTCTGTCCCCTTCCCTAAGTGTGACTATAATAATTTTTTTCCTGCTCATACACCTCATCCTCCTATAAATCTGTTCTTGCTTTGCTAGCATTGTGATGTCCTACGTAAAAAAACAAAATGACAGTAAACATTTCACTGATTTATTTGCAGTCTACAAAAAAGCCTCTTATCAAGTTGTAATCCATTCAGAGTGACCTTCCTAAAGAGCTACTTTTTTTTTGTAATGAAGTCCAAACTTAGGCATTAATTGGATGATATTAGATGCTATACTACAAAGTGGGTAGTGCAGAAAAGAGTGGTATTGGGATGAGTAAATTGAATTAAATTACATTAATTGTTAAGTATAGCTAATGTGCTAATTATATGCCTGTATCCTAATCTTCCTGTTTAATTGTATTAAACATAATCAGGTAACAGTTTTTGAAAGGGCTTTCTATGTTGTAAGTAAAGTTTAATGGTCCACTCTGGAATTTTGCTAATGATCCTGTCTGTAACTTAAATTTCTTATATGTACAACAGCTGGCAGCACCTAGTCATTCTTGGCTAATGCCCCACACAAGCAGGATCAGACCTAGCTTGTATTTGGTAGGAGGCCACCAGCAAATTTCCAGGCTGCAGACTAAATTGGGAAATAATAAGTCCTATAAGAGACAAGTTTAAGCCAACCCTATGTTATTACTATGAATTTTACTATATATAGATATGTCCTTGTGGACACCAGGAGTCAAAGCAAAGGGAATCATCAAATTACAGGTTATATACATCTGTACGTTGCAACTAAATTAACCTGTCCCTATGTTTAAATGTAACAAGAGTATTTTTTCATTGTGACATATTCTAAATAATTAGATCCCCCCCCCCCGAGCTCCCTATATGTTTTCCTAATTTCTGCAGAATCTAGACAAGAAAGCATTAATTTTTCTGTAAACATTTTCAACACTTATCTCAAAGACTTAACTATATCTACTATATATTTATACTTCATTTTCTATTATTGTCACAAATAAGTAGTCATTTCATTCATTAGTATGATAAATTATGTAGTAAATTAAAATATAAGTAATAATGCAGGTAGTCCTTGACTTACAACCTTTCATTTAGTGATTGTTCAAAGTTACAATGGCATTGAAAAAAATGACATATGACCACTTTCACACTTACAACTGTTGTAGCATCCTCATGGTCACGTGATCACAATTCTTGGCACTTGGCAACTTAACAACAGGAAGTTTGGGCTCCATTCTTGTTGAAGTCGAGGACTACCAGTATATACATTTAGAAACACAGTTTTGAACTCAACAATTTTCTGAACCCAAATGCTTCCAAGCAGTGTTTCTTACGACTGCAGAAGGAATGTGCTCTTACCTTTCCCTATGTGCCTTCTGGTGTTTTCTATAGTAGAGTTCCTGTTAACGTTAGATAGCAATCCAAGGCAGAATCTGTTCTTATTGTTTGAAGGATCTGTAAAGCCATCTATTAGTATACTTCGAGAAGAGGCCTGAAAAGTCTCCCCGACTCTGTTATTCAGTTCATAGTATGCAACTGAACACCAGTGCTGTGGTTCCTCATAGCAAACAGGGCGGAAGTCTGGAAGAAGATTTTACAGATGAAGAAGATGCAACAGAAATGTAGAAAGAAGCATAACAATAATAATGAAATGATTATATATCCAAACTTCAAATATACTCTTATATACATATATTGATACAGCAGGTACTGACAGAACAGGAAGGAGATATAAAGACAAACAGCACAATTAAAGCGTTAACTCACTGTGGTAAATTCAAAAAAAAAAAAGGAAAAATGGAAGTGAATTTCATCATAGTAAACATTAGAAAAAGGACTAAAATACATTTTAATGTAATGCTTCGTATTTAAAAAGTGTTACTAAACCAGTGATGGTGAACCAGTGACACACCATAATGTTTTGGGTGACAAACCAGCATTCACCAACACCTAGCAACAGTTATTCTCCAGTCCCACTCAAACCTTAAAATGTATTCTTACCATCCATATCACCACATTATGTTATCTTCATATTTGTAACTGGAAGTGACATGAAAGAGACAGCAACTTGCAAAATATGATAGGAATTTAGCAGTTGAATGGTTCAGTTGTCTTCCAACCATTGCACAGTTGTTTGCTCATTTTCAAGAAACAAATGCAGAAAACAACTGTGATTACAGTCTCCAAAATAAGCACTATCAGTGATTGAGTGCACTTAATTTTAAATGAATACGTATGTACAGAAATGTTCCTCTTTTCTTTGACGTGTATGTGTGTGAGACACATGCCAGCAGTTAAATTAGGCATTTATAAATTTTTGACATAAGGTTCACCAACACTGGACTAAACTCTGTATCATCTAAAAAGACATTACTGAACTAGTAAAGGTGGAGGAAAGAATAACACTATTGTGGCCTTGCATGTTTATTCTTCAAGGAAAGATGATTAGTTCAAAAACTCAAGTTTTAAGTTCAAAAATAAGGCAAGCAAGGGCAAAATATTATTAAATTATATATGATCACAGATGGTGTGCAAAATGTGGATCGTTTTTCATCCATTCACAATATTAGAAAATCTGGGTCATATCTTGAAATAAAATGCTGGGATATTCAGGAACAAATGACAGATTAGTTTCTTTGTACAAGGCATAATTAAACTATGGAATGTGTTGTTATTGAATGAAACAGCACTCTGGCACACACAAATCTGGGTAACGTTCAAGGTCAGAAAGAGTAGATAAGTTTAAAAAAGCGACCAAACAAATCCATGGAGAAGATAGCTGCATACTGGCTGCAGAAACAATGATGATTAGAATTAGAATTTTTTTATTGGCCAAGTGTGATTGGACACACAAGGAATTTGTCCTGGTGCATATGCTCTCAGTGTACACAAAAGAAAAGATATGATCAAGAATCATAAGATACAACACTTAATGATAGTCATAGGGTACAAATAAGCAATCCGGAAACAATATCAATATAAATTGTAAGGATACAAGCAACAAAATTACAGTCATACAGTCATAAATGGAAGGAGATGGGTGGTGGGAACGATGAGAAGTTTAACAGTAGTGCAGACTTAGTAAATAGTTTGACAGTGTTGAGGGAATTATTTGTTTAGCAGAGTGATGGCATTCGGGAAAAAACTGTTCTTGTGTCTAGTTGTTCTGGTGTGCAGTGCTCTATAGCGTCGTTTTGAGGATAGGAGTTGAAACAGTTTATGTCCAGGATGTAAATTCTTGACTTGATTCAATGGAGTTCTTTATACCTTTTTCAGGAGACCTTTACTACTGTCCTTCTCAACCTTGGCAAGTTGAGGATGAGTAGAGTTCAACTCCCAGAATTCTCCAGCAAGCCATACATGCAGGTTGAGATTGAGAAAGGTGGAGAAACACTGATCTAGCAACTTATTTTCTCTGTTTCCATTTTAAGTATGTGTCCTAATTATTGTGCACCACATGGAAACTGCTTAAAAATGATACCTTGTATTGTCTAGTAGGGTACATTGGAGAAAAATAATAAAATTTAAGTTTTAATAGAGAGTTTTTAAATTTGCATTTTCAAAATCTATACATAAGCCAAAACATACTACGCAATACTTGCAGCATTGTGAATTGTGATATAGCTCAATTAATATATGTAAAAGAAAAATAGATGGGGGAAATGTTTGTGAAAGTTTTTTTTCTGTGAGGAAAAGTACATATAAAATCTGCATATTAGGAGAATCCATGCAAGTAGATACAAACAGGGGGGAGGGGGGGCAAAGTTTTTAAACAATTACAAAAAATGTTTTAACTATGTAAGGAACTAAAGAGTAAACCTGTTCCAATCTCTTAGGAGTAAAATGGATTGAAGGAGGGATAAAAGTTGCATAAACAAACTAAAATAAACTCATGCATCACTAGTCTTTACTTTCTTAAATTGTTCTTTGCCATGACAACTGTTTTTGCCCCCCCCAACTCAGAGGAAAATCATTCAAATCTTCAACAATACCACCAATATTCAAATCAAATCAATAGAAGACTATTCTGGTTTGAGTCTGCCAAGAGGTAGTATTTGGTTACGGATCTCTTTGGATGAAGATTGAATAGTTCCTCGGCTACCAATCAGGTCTGGGCCAAGTCCTTCCCACTATGGAAAAAAATACAAGTATTTACATACTTCCAGGGTCCCCATCAGTAGATTTACCTCCATTGGGCAGTGACAGCACTAATGGACTCTCTATAACTGCATGTACAGGACATCCATTGTGGCTTCGTGATGTTTCTCTGGCATTATAAGGTGGAGGAGGTGTATCCGCTAGGAAAAAGAAAACAATGGTGGGTTTGGTATTTCATGACCTGCCTATATAAATACAAAGATGAGGCTTCAGAGACTGAAGCATAAATATTTACCACACACATTTTATTGCATTAGATCAGATGCTTACAAATGATTTCATTTTATGCACAAATAAATCACAAAGAGTCCAGGTTCTCTGTTAGAACTTACAAGAATACTTGGAACTCTATATTAGTGTTTCTCTTGACTATCTGAATAAACATATTGCTCAAAAAAAATAAATAAAGGGAACACAAGCAGAAGACATCCGAGATCTGAATGAATGGAATAGCCTTATTAAATACTTTGTTCTTTACATACAGTAGTTTATACTGCTCAAACAACTAAAGGGAACACAAAACTACTGTATGTAACGAACAAAGTATTTAATAAGGCTATTTCATTCATTCAGATCTCGGATGTCTTCTGCTTGTATTCCCTTTATTTTTTTGAGCAGTGTATATTCAATTTATCACAACATTTTATAACAAGCGCTCAGAATTGCATACATACTATTTTTTCCTAACACACACACACACACACACATGCATACATACACATAAACACAAAATCTTGTAAAATAAATTGGGCTGAGTAAATGGCTCAAAGTCAATCAGGGAGTTTCTGTGGCTAAAATAACTAGGCTTCCTTGCTCCTACCAAAATTGTTTGAACTTGTAAAAACAAGGTACCATTGAAAGCTGATTTATTTATTTTTTTGCAAAATCTAGAGCAGCATGGTGGCCTAGTGGTGATGAGGACATTTGCCTCCCAGCCAGGTTGAGAGTTCAATCCTAGGTAATGGCTATTTTGTTGCTCCCTCAGGGTGCAAAGAGAAAATTATCTCCTGCCAACTCCACATAGGCATCAGGAAGGGCATGCAGCCAGTAACCACTCAGCTCCATTCAGTCACCTCAACTCTACCCGGAATTAAGGGATAACAGTTGTAAAAAGAAAACAAATGATTCAAAACTCTGGTTCCTAAAAAGAAGTTACTGTAGACTCAGCATCATTCAACTAGTGTTCAGGAATAGTATTTTGCATACCTATGAGCTCATAAGGGCTTCCTGGTGCAGAAGAATTTCCTGGGGAATCTGGGTAGCTCATACTGCTTGGTGACTGAGAGTACATATTGGGGGATGCTGGGAAAGGGGTGCAAGGAGGCTGCTGAAAAGAATCAGGGTAAGTTGCATTATGAGGCATCAGTGGCTCACTGTGAAGAGACGTGTTCCGGAATTTGGCAAGGAGGCTAAGATGTGGATTGAATTCACTATGTCTTGGAACCAACACTGGAGGTAACACTACAACAAAAGAACAAAACAGATGTTTTGAAAATAAAAATTCTTCCAAGTCTTAGGCAGAAGTATCTCATTACCCACCTGTAGAATTTTCAAATAGACTGGAATTTACAGAGACTGGAATATGGTGCTTTAGCTCTAAATTATAGCTTTGCTAAAGTTACAAACCAAGATCTGGCACATTTGTAACATTATACAATATAATTCATTTTAGGTTATTTTCTGAGCTGCTTGATCACAAGCATGTAAACAGAAATAGTAATTATTTGGAACCTTAAGTCTAGAGATTTGTGGCACAGCTTTAAGACTAAAAACTGCACCAAGTACAAAATTCCATTGCTAAGTTAATTAAAAGATAACCTACCAATATACTGAAGATACTTGATGGTGCCATACTGCTATGGAGCAAAATTCAAGGTATTTTTGGGTATCTAGCAAGACAATCTGTCACCATCCAGAGAGTCAAATGTTCCCCTCCCTCTTGCTCTAGGATTGCAGCAAAACTGTATAATAGGTTCCTTCCTTTCCTCTGTATTTTTATAAGATACACATTTGACCTGCAGTGATATTATATGTCTAAGATGTTTTTCACAAGGTAAAGACTTAAAGGAATCTCAAGAGACTTGTCACCTGAAACCAAGAATGACTTGAAGTCACACAAAATCTAAGTACCAAACAGTGCTCAGCTACTACTCTTATCTAACACAGAGTTCGTTCTTAGTTGTTTCCAATGAAAATGTATGCAACAATGATACATTTCCTGTATAAATAACATTTAGTGTAGTCCTAAGTAAGAAGCTAAAAGAACTTTACAACTTCAGCACCTTGGACAAGAACAAGACGTACAGAAAGTTACATGCCAGGTACCCATAATTAAAATATTTTCAAAAAAAGCAAATGAAAAGCATCTGTTTTGATATTTCACCTATAGTCGAGACTGTAGTATTATAATAGCTTTTTAAAAGCACAGAAAGTTTTGTTTTGTTTTATAACTGGTACAGAAGTTATTAACAACTGATTTAGATAACTAAACAATCAGATTAAATATGATGGTAGAATTTGCTAGGCTAAACTGCATTTGTTGAACAAATTCTTATGTTTGTATCATTAAAAATCATCTGCAATTTTAAAATACTTTTTAAAACTACCTGATTAAATGTAAATAATCCATTCTCTTTAAGTTTTGTTTTCAGGATCTTGATCTTCCAATGTAAATGTTTGCATCTCTTTGACCTACTTTGATCTAACCACTTTTTCCAATCACAGCTTGCATGCAGCTTCCCTTTTTTTTGCAGATAGAATAATTATGAAATATGCGATCAATGCAGTGCTATCCTTCATTAAACATTTAGACAATTGACTTACCTGGGGTTTCCACTCTTCGATAATGGTAAGGATTAATGCAGACATCTTTCTGCTTTGAGCCAAATGGGAATTCACAGCATTCCAGAGGTTTTAATTCATGATGAGACTGTAGATCAGGCCAGCGCCACACTCTGCAGTAAATGACATGTGGCAAACCTTTGCGATGAGATACTTGCAGCCTTCCATCCAAAGAGCGTGGGATTGTCACACATTTACTGGGCTGCCCAGGACAGCTAAGTGCCCTCTCCAGTTCCTCCATGGCACCTTTTTTTTTCTTCAGCTTCTTTACCAAGGAGTCAACAGCTTTTTCTGCCCACTTTTCCTCTTCATCTCCTTGCTTCCAGCCCAATAGCCTCTTTACAGCTGGGCTGGTGAAGGAGAACAGAGAACTTATAGGGGTGCTGGAGTGCATAAGAATCCGAGAATACTGGTATAATTTCAATTATTCAACTTCTTTTTCTTTAATGAAGAATCTCACTACTTGAAGAGATACTCCTTCAAAATCAGCCTTTTCTCCACATACTCTGGGTTTGCTGGATATATTTAATCCCAGTATCTTCAAGTAGAGAACAATTCTACAACAGAAGGGAAATATTGTCATTTCTATTTGCCTTCAGTTTCTAAGCAATATTGTCAAAAACCAAGAGTATTATCATAATTGCTATATGACATTGTATATGTGTCCATTATATAAATTACAATAAATTATAAATGTGCATCTTATTACAAAACATGTTTTTTTTTTAAAAAAAAAGAAAGTTAGGAAATATTTATCAATAAAGTTGAACAATTCAGCGCTTATTTCAGGATTCAAAAAAAATATAAGACAGAGTCTTATTTTCGGGGAAACACGGTATATACTGTTGGAATTGAAGATAATTGCATTTCTTAATCTTAAAAAGAAAAGAAATATTTTAAAAGGTTGGATAATATTTAAAATAGATGAATATGAGGCTTCAGCTGTTTTTAAATTGCAAGTCCAATCACATTAGGAGCTATCCTTTCATTTCTTTTATATATTATAATCCTTAAATAACCCCTTTTTATTATTGTTCTGTACATTATGCATTGTTTGATTGTATCATCATCATCTCCTTTAGTGGTGGCTTGGTGGATTTTATGCTGCCCCTTTCTAATCTAAACCATAACAATTAAAAACCTCAGAAATGTCAAAATCAATTTCCTGGAGAAGATTCTCAGTGTAAAAGATTAACAGTGTAAAAGTCAGCTCTACGCATTGCTGATTTTGATCTGACATTCCCAGATACAAATCTATGTTTGGTTCCGAAATGTACCGAAGGGGATAAATAGAGTCCCTTTCTTTTTCAGCTTTACAGCAGAGTTCTCTACAACCTAGAGCTTGGCAACTGGAACAATCTGGAAATACTGAAGAGTTTCAGTTCCAACACATCCTGGAGCTAACAAGGTTGGAAAGATATACCTTAAAAGCTTGTTAAAATAAAATTGCTTCTTTGGAAGGAAGTTGGCATCCCATGTTAATAAATAATAAATAAAAATGAAAACGTGTGGTGGTATGGACAGAAAAAAAAAAGATTTGGGTAGTATTAATTTTTTTAAGTAACATAATGCAATTTGGTAGTCTACCTTATATCCCTGTGGATTTGCTATTCTATTTTGAAATGACCAAACCTGCATTTCTTATGTAATATAAAGAGTGAAATATCTATTAAATGTAATGTAGAATGCTTTAGAGCTGCAAACATTCTGAAGATCATTAAGAGAAGCCACTGGCATTAAAACGAGGTCTTAACTCTATTATAAAAGTGCTTCTTATCATCCAGGATGCAATGTGCAATTACAATGAGCAAAAAAAGTATATTATCAACATAAGAGCACCAGTGGGAATTAAATTTTGGCAAACAAATGAAAAATTAGCAAACTATTGCTAATGAAGAATAAATAGTTTTGCTTCATCATGCCTTGGAATTCAGACACCACCATGATACCGAATATTATTTATTACACAGATAAAAAGAAATTTGATTCACTGCGTAGAACACAAAGTCAGTTATCTGTACTCCGAGACTGTGCACAGATGTATATGTCTGATGTATCATCTATATTAGACACATAGTTGTTAGATATGCAGGCTAAATCTGCATTTGTAAACATGCTTAAGGAATGGTAGTATTCTGATTAGATAAAGAGCTATTTTGATAAGACATTTTGATAAGCATATAAAGCACTGCAGTAGAGGTTGTATGCCAAAAAGTTGGTGCTACTGTATATACTGGTTCAGGCTTTATGAAGAAACATTTGTAACAAGCAGTATTAAATATGAAGTTACAATGTGGAGTGATCCGATGATCAAATAAGGGGAGTCGATAAGATTTGAGTTTAAGTGAATCATCTTACAAAACTATCAGGAATGTCAAAAACTAAGACGTAGCAGCCACCATATTCTATATGACTAAGATTTCCTGCTTGAGCAGGGAGTTGGATTATCCTTAGAAAACCTCCAAGGTTCCTTCCAACTCTGTTATTCTATTATAGAGAATATTTGCATGAATCAGTCAATCAGGAAAAAAACACATTATGGCAACCTGAACTCCTAAGGGTATAAAGGATCTAGCCTTTATACCCGTGATGGTGAACCTATGGCACGCGTGCTGGAAGTGGCATGCAGAGCCATCTCTCCGGGCACGCCAGCCATTGCCCGTTGCTCTTCCAGGTTCTGGCGTGCACATGCACCCCAGCCAGCTGGTCTTCGCATGTGCAGGAGTACTGGAAACCAAAAGAGCAGCTCCTTAGCACTCATGCGCAAAGTTGAGCTTCCAATTTTCAGTGCTCACATGCGCGCCCACCAGCTGGTCTTTTTTTTTTTATTGAAAAGTTTTATAAGAAATACAACAATTTTCTCCCCCCACCCTTTCCCCCTCCCTACATAATAGAAAGTGTACATTTTCTTATACATAATAAATGCATGTTTCCCTTAAAGAAAGCATTAAAGTAGGACATTTTAATTGCATTCGGATTTGCTCTTCTTCTTTCTTCCCTCATTCCACAACAAACCTTCTTCTCCACCTCCTTTCTTTCCCTTCCCTCCCTCTTCTCTCCTACTGTCTCCTTCCTCCTCTCCTACCTCATCCTACTTCCTTTTCCTTTCCCCCACTTCTCTCTTCTTTTCCCCCTTCTCGCCTTCACTCCTACTCCTGTCCCCTTCCCTTCCTCCTCTCCTTCCATTCCTCTCCCTCCCTCTCCTCTTCCTACCCACTCCTCCTCTCTCCTTTCTAACTTCTTTGCTGTGAAATATTCTCCTCCTTTAGTATCTGAGCAACTCCTATTCTAATCGTAGATACTTTCTTCTGTTAAAACATTTCTCTATTCACCACTTTTTTTCCCCATCCCAACCCTTATCCCACCCTCCCCACCCCCGACTTCCCAGAGCAAAAACAGGGTAACATATGCTAAAATAAACTAACTAATTATAAATTTCAAAACTCCCACACAATCTTTAACTCCCCTTGCTCCAATTCATCAACCCCTTTTATAAATCCTCAAGACCAATTACGTTAAATTCATTCATCCTAATTATAAAAAAAACTTTTTCTTGATGTATAATCCAATACTTTAGCAATATTACAAACAGTAAAAATCATAAGTAAATTTCATTTCCATATCCTCGAACATCATTCTTTTTGAACATTACTCCCTAATAAAATTCTGAATTTAACATTAATCCTCTTCATTCAAGAAATGGAGTATCTTGAGATCTTACACATTTTATCTCATGTACCTGTTAAAATAATATAATCTTACGTTAAACATCTTAAAAATCTCTTAATACCTTTAAAACTCTTATTTACCAAATATAAATTTCAAAATCTACCAGAGGATATCTTTCAAGTTTTCAATTAACCAATGTTAATACCTCTAACTTTTTAGAAAGCAGCCTTTTTACTATCCAAAACTAATTATCGTTTTGTAATAGAATTCTGAGTTTAACATTAATCCTCTTTGCTTCAAAAAGTTGGGCATCCTGAAAGCTTACACAATTTAACTCGTATATCTTTTAAAATAATATAATCTTATGTTAAACATTTTAAAAATCTCTTAATACCATTGAAACACATATTTGCCAAATGCAGATTTCAAAATCTACAGGAAGATATCTTTCAAATTTTCAATTCCTAAAATAGCCTTTAATACCAATGTAATTAAACTTCTCAGTTTATTACTAGAATCTTCCTTCCCCAAAGAGAAAAAAAAAGCAAATACTTAATCTTCTATTCTTCTCTTCTTTCTATATTTTTTCCAGTCCTTTTTTTTATTAATTCTTTCAACATTCCCCCCAATTTTATTTTTGAAAATTTTAAAATGTTGATTTTAGGTTGATGTTTCTGAAATACTCGCTCTCTTCTGGAAATCACTTTTTCTAGTTTGAGATCTCCATTTCGACTCTTCTTGCTTGTATAGTCCTTCAATCCATTCCTTTGTTCATATAGCCAAAATTTGTTGCCATAAAGTTTGTCAGCAAATAAAGAGTCTATTTGTTGCTTTTCTATCAGTTGAATGGAAGCGTCTACCCAGTTCTTTGTTTCAGCTGTGCCAGCCTGCCTTTCAGTCTTAACAGCCTTTCGATCTTCCAAGGGCAGACTCTTCTGAAAAATTTCCTGCTGCCCATCTAACGACTCCTTATAATTTTCCAAGCTGTTTTTTGAAAAAGCTCTTTCAATTATATCCAAAAGTGCAGAATTAAAGGATTCTAGAAGTTCTTGAAAAGCTTTAACAGTTACAGCTTGAGAATTTGCTGATTCACCAGCCCTGCTGTCAGCCATATTTCAGCCACTTTGTATTTATCCAGCTATTAGGTCGATAATTCCAACTATTTTCCACACAGTATAAGAGCAAAATTTTAGTTAAAGTCAATACCAAATTCTTTTCCTCAGTACCAAATTCTTTTCCTAGGCGCTTCCACTTTAAAACTTTCTCTTAAGGTATAATCCAGTAGCTGTATCAATGTTGCAAACGTTAACAAGCGTAACAAGCACTTTCCCTTGTAGCTTCCTCCTCCCGCCCTCAGGCGCCATTTTCTGCATTTTAAAACGGAGTTAAAGTGTTACTTGCAATTTTTTTTCTTTTTTCTCCTGGTTTGCTCTGTCTGCAATCAAGGTAAAGATGTTAAAAATCCCCTCATTTTTTTTCCCAGCAGATTTTGGTCGCGGCTTCTAGCTCCGCTTTTGCAGAGTCGTCCCTGGTCCGGAGCAGCTTGACAGGCTTCAATAGGGAGCCCACACCCTTCGCGCCCCAGGATTTCTTCTAGGGCACTTGGGGGGGCTCTACCTCCGCCTGTCGATCTTCTCTCTCCCCTTTGCCCGGGGAGAGGGTTCCAAGCCTCCAGACAGCTGTTTTTCGGCTGTTCTGGGGCTTTTACGGAACCGGGGATCGGGCGCTCATAAAAGAGCGTCTTCAAAGCTTGCGGAGTCAAACGGAAGTCCCCACCAGCTGGTCTTCATGCTCACATACATGCCACAACCCAGAAGACCAGGTGACCAGTGCAATGCGGACACCAGAAACTGGAAGCTCAGCTTTATTGAACTGCTCTTCCAGTTTT